TCTTGGGGATCGCCACTCCTGGGAATAGGTATGACATTCTGGTGATGACAGAAAAGCGAGAAATTGTCACTCTTATCTACCTTATCTTTGCCGGTAATGTTTCTTTGTCTATAAAGAGGTGTCAAACTGTGCTCCTCTTTTGAAGATTTGAATTATTAAACTAACAAGTATCAAAGAAGTTAGTCAGACGACTTAGTTAGTGAAATTTGATGGAGGTTAGAGATCGTCGTATGTTGGTGATATTCCCTCAATTTGTTTAATTAAGTTGATGCTTAAAGGGCCTTGCACTACATAAGAATTCCATTCAAATATGTTTGCTTGAAGTAAAATGTAATCTGCATAGTCGATATTGGACGCTTTTTCGATGTCCAGGTGATCACCATCACAACTTGCTATAAAATATACAAATTTCTTGTCTATGCATTTTATGCTCTAAACAGGATAAGTATCAGCAGATGCAGTTGCAAATGATCCTCCTTTGAAAACGGACGATCGGATTTTGCGTAAAGGAAGATCTGGAACAGGAATGTAGTTGAATTCCCACTTTTTTGATTTGGATGCTTTTCTGCTCAAGCGTCTGATATCAGCCCAATTGGTCATATTTATCGGCAGGGATCTTCTAGTTCATTGTACGCCTCATTATCTAAACTGTTGTCACGGTGACTTCTGTGGTGTCACCATCTAATTACGCCTTTCGGAATCACCAAGGAAGGACACAATAAAAAGTGCGCAAAACTATAATCCACCCGAAGGAGTTGCTATTGTATACAAAACCCAGAGTTGCTGTCTTGGGCGGCAGTTACCGCTGGCGTTGTTGAGGGCTGAATTTCCTTGCTTCCGGGCAAAGCCCACTAATGTGGTGGACTGGCGATGTCCTTGCAGTCTGTGCACAGATCACTGTCTGGGATGTGACACTGGTTTATAAGTGTTTGTCAAGCGCGTTCGCTTGTGGCCTGATTGGGCGCGTTGGAATAAGGTCACCTAGTGCGTGAGGCATTTAAGTGGCCTTTGAGGAACTGCGAACAGTTGGACCGCGTGTGCACCGGCGTGTATCTATGTCTTGTCCAGCGGTTGAAGATCATCACGTGGGCACAGTCACCAGTGAAGGCATATGACCTTGAGGCAGTCCGAGGGAGAGAAAGGAGTTATTCTTCGCAGTCGACTGCGGGCGTGACTTCTCAGGATAGCCTGCAAGGTTGCTGGCATTCTGTTAGGCTAGACTTCTTACATAAATGGCCACAAAATTCGTAGTCTAAACAACCTCGCGTCCGACAAATAAGACCACGAAGAGAAGGGTGTCCATCGATATTGCAAAGGATGCCTTCGACTACAACAGCATTCACCGGTTTCGAATGAATACTGGAGTCTTGTAGCATACTGTATGATTTTAGCACTCGAAAGAGGTATGCTTATGGCGTAGCTTACGTCTACAGACTGGTTCATAGATCACTGTCAATATATCGGTGTATGGACTTTGTAGCAGTTGTCTCCCTTCCAACAGTCAGGAACCCAATCCCTTCGAAGTTCCCGTTGCACTCTTCAAACAAATTGGGACTAGGCAACGCAAAACATCTAAATTTGTGTTCGTCAAGTCTAGAGTCCGACAACCCTAGACAACTGGTTATGTTTCTAGTTAAAAAGACAACTCTATTCAAACAAAATACTAATCAAAAAGCACAGATTAGTGGTGGTTTTGTAGCGCGTTTATCAATTTTATTTCTTCAAGTTAATATACTTCATTCTTTGCTATCAGTTACATAAAATCATAAATAAATTTACTTGCTAAACATTCGTATGTTGACTCGATAGTGTCCAATAGCATAATTCGTGTCGTTGTTTGCAAATAACTTATAAATCAAACCTTCTTTTGAGGATTGGTCGTTGTCCTTTCTCAGTATAAATCTCGTATATGCGCTATGGGTGCCCCGATAAGTTATGGAGTTTTATTGAGAAGTTCGTGTTGCATGCCTTAACGGACAAAATTGATTGTAGCTACACTGACAGTTCGAGAAGATTAGCTATATAGCCACCTAAACATGACACACGGATAAGAACAGCCCAGAATACATGTGTCCCTAAGCCAACTATCGGGGAACTACTGGAAAAGTAGGTTGGTGAATAAGGAAAGGTTAAGAGTTAAGTTTAGGAATGGGTCCTAGGTGGGTTTTGCGGTCAGAGTTTTGAGAAGGGTTAAGGCTCCTCGGATAGAAACTCATTATCACGGAAATGCAAATAACAAGTGGGACAATGCACGGAACGAAACCTTGTGTTGCGCATTAGTACTGAGTACTGGCGGACTGAAAGTTATCTCAGAACTCTGGATTAATACAAAAATTATCGCTATCAGAAAGTTATCTACGTATTCTTTTAAAAGACACGGTAAACCAGCAGATGTCTTCTACTTTTTTTGACTACTGACACACCGTGTACCACTTAAATGAAACATTTAAACAATGACAAAATAGCAAACAAAGCCGCAATTCTTACCTCGGACAGGTCTAGTTGTAGGGTTCGTGTTTCCACCCCAAAAGTGTTCTCCACCTCTTTGGCGGCAGACTTTAGTTTCAGCGCATCTCCATCCACCATGAGAATCTTCAGTCCCTCCTTCGCGAGCTCCTTGCAGAAGGCTAGACCAATGCCGGCAGATGCCCCCGTAACGACAGCCCAATCACCGGCAAAAATTAGCTCCTTCCGTTTAGAATACAGCCATTTGCCAAGTGTGTACTTAAAGAACACACAGAGGACAACGACACTGATGTATATTAGGGGAGATATCGCTGTAACACCAAGTATCACCGCCAGCCAACCCATGTTGTGACGTTAAAGGCAGAAATATGTCGTGACAACCAGAGCATCGCTTGTTATCAAGCTAGGTGAGGTCACGAGCCGTGTGTGTCTTATAGTCAATGAAGGCGTAACCAATCTGAG